TTTCTCCCGGCCCGCTTTTATTATTCCGTCGGGTTTCGGTACCGGGGTGAACCCCCTCCTGCTCCGCGGGTTTTGGGGGGAAAACTGCCACCCAGCGGCACCCCAGGAGCGAGGGGGGAAAGGTCAGTAGGCGCAGACCCCCGCCACGGGCACACTCATGCCACTGGGGTGCCGGCGAGGGCTGCAAAGGGATGGCTCAGGGCTCCCCAGCGGCGCTGACCCCAGGGCCGGCCTGCACCCCCGGGACAGGGGGCATGGCCCGAGGAGAGATGAAGGCAGGCTTCTCGGCAGCCTTCCTGCCATCCTTGGTGCCCTTCTGCGCAGGGGGATGTTGGCCAAGGGATGAGCAGAAGCTCCCAGCAGGGCTGACCCTTCCAGCCGCCCTGGTGCCTTCCATCAGCCCGGGGTGCCTGTCCCAGGTGCTCCCTGGGAGATCTCCGCTGGCCTCTGGTCCAGGAGCTGCCCTGGGTGAGTGTGGTCACCCAGGCTAGTGCAAGTGTGTGTGGCTAGGCAGGCCTTCCTCCCAGTTACTAGCCATGCATCCCAGTCTGGGATGGCTGCAGGATGTTTTTTTTTGTCTTGGATATCCTTTAATTTACCCGCTGAATCCCTCCATTCATAGTCACGTGCAACTAGGACTGTTGATGTCTTCTCATGAGCAGGGATTTCACTGGCTGGACACCTCCCTCTGGTCCTTACACGTGTGTTTAAAGTGTGTCTCAGGGCGAGCTGCTGTATGAAAACCCGCACAACGTGATGCGGTTGTACTGAGGCCTCCAGCATGCTGCGGCACCGTTTCCCCTCGGGCAGGGGTGGCTTGGTGTCACTGGCATAGGGACGGGGTCTGGCAGATATGCCCCTCTCATGCTCCCTGCCTATGGATTAGTAACTTGCTTTCAGTAAATTCCAGTGGGATGGCTGCAGGGAGCAGTGCAGCCCGATGTGGGCTGGAGCTCCAGCCTGTGCCTTTGCAGGGGTCGCTGCAGAACAGGGGACTCGCACACCTCCCTCGTTAACTACTCATTTTGTTGGGTAGTCCTGCTCTGTGGTTTGCCATCTCCCGAAGCTGACCGCCTGTCCCTCTCTGGTCCCTCTCAGCTAGGCACATTCAAGTCTGACGATGGGGATTATTTCGTAGAGCCGCTGCTATCGCTCGAAGAACAGGAGTATGAAGAAGAGCACAACAAGCCACATCTAGTCTACCGACATCGGACACCTCCAACCAACTCTTCAGGGGACAGGCAGACTTGCGATACTCCAGGTACTCACTTTGTTACTGCCCTTGATGACTTGGCACTTACAAAAGGGAATTAATTTGCAGTAAAAAGTCGGTAGGTTTGCGTGGGGCAGAAAGGATGTAGAGTTGAGGGACCCTTCTAGAAATGGTACTGTGTGCGCTAGGACCGGGCTCACGATGGTACTGCTGTCCTGGAGAGACGTGGTGTGCCTGTGCTTTCTAGTAATCCGTTATAAGGAAGTTGCGGTCAGGAAAAATGTTATGGTTTCCATTTCATCCCTGCTGTAAGGCTGGCAAGAGATCCTTTGTGTTGTCTTGCCTTAAATATCCCATGAACCTTTAAACTTACTTTCTGTCCTCTCCTACGTGTAGTTCCTAACCATCCTCGTCTGATTTGCTGTCTGTCTAAAACTCTGTTCCTGTCCTTTAAGTGACATCCTTCTGTCTTGGTCTTGCTGTGCTCCTGGTCTTCCCTTCCCAGATCTGGCTGTGAGTTGCAACGTCTGTCTTCTTTCTAGTGGAAATGAGAAGGTCCTAATGCCAACCCTGGCAGTTCTTCCCTTATTAATCACTTTTCCATGGTTCATTTTCAAAGGCTTTTTCTTCCTCGTGGCCCTTCCTCCACCAGCACCATCTCCCTGACCTCCTCACTCTCTCTTTCTAGTCTTTGCACATATGAAAGAGCACAAGCCTTTTTATCTCCCCTTCACGTGCCTTGGTGAGCAATAGCCTTGCTCCTACTGTCCCTATTATCTGCAGTGGCCTCCTGCTGCTCTCCGCTTCGTTGACTTCCTGATTTTCACAACTAATCCTCTCCTTTGGCAGCAAATACCTAAGTTCTCTCTGAAGAAGCTTATTCCTTCAGTCTGCTGTTTCACCTGCTGTTTTGCCCTCCTCCTTTGGCCTGCAGCTAGATCTACAGGAGCTTTAAAGCCTAAACAGAGTAGACCTTGACTGGCTTCCCTTGCATGGGCTGCAAGGCGCTCATGTGCTGCGAAGTAGGCGGAGTTGCTCAGGGAGTAAAGGTACCACTGGAGGAGAAGTGTGGTGCCAAACTTAGACCGCATTTAGCACGCGTGACTCGTTTGGCACCCATGACTGTGGATTGCGGCTGTGCTGTTGAGCTGTCGGTCTGTTCAGCTTGCACTGATCGCGCCAAGTCAGAAGATGCTCTGGTGCTCTGTGACCAGCCAGAGCTGATGCACTAGCAACACGTGTTTCTTCTAGAAGACATGTGGATACGTGTCCACGTGTGAACATGCGTGCTGGGGGACAATGGTACCTCTCACAAAGCTGTCATTGTTTGTTCTTCCAAGGGTTGCTGCTGGACTATGCCATTCTGGTTTCTCTCTTCCAGCTGTTTCTGCTCCCTTCTTTGAGATCTGATGCAGGAGACTCAGAACAGTTGGAAAGAAACACGGAATCTGGCACATTGCATCAGTAGCCCTTGGAGGAACGGAGCAGCAGATCACAGGACTCATTGAATCAAAGGTAGCTGGGAGGGCTCTGACTTTCGCTTGTGGACTTTACTCTGTGCCGTTATAACAGTCTGCTGTATTTCACCCCACTGTATTATAGCTTCCATTTAGGGTATTATTCTTCTGGATCATGATTCACAAGAATAATACTCCGTCCGTGATATTACCTACATGGCATATATCTCTTTCTCCTCTTTTCCAACATGCTTTGCCTCTTGCTTGTCTTTGTTTCCTTGCTCTTCTCGGTTGCTTCATGTAGTGAAGGTGTCGCCTCTCAATTACAAGCTTAAGGTTCCAGATAGGCCTGACAGTCTTACTTGTCCTCCTGTCCTCTTCCCCTCCATCTCTACCACTCCCTTTTACCGTTGTCCAGGTTTTTGAAAGGGAATGATGCTTTGGTCATACGCACTCGTTGAACAAGTCTTGGTCACTTCATTTAAGGAGGAGGGCAGCTTGGGCAATGCTGAACCTTGGCGTTCCCCCTGGGGTGATGTCTGGTGCAGAGAAAGTATCTCGCTTGTTTTTGGAGCAGAGGGGAAAACGCAAAATCTAGCAGCACTCACTGTTTTGGACAGGGTGCATCTGTCACTCCTACCAGAGAAGAATGGTTTCATGAGAGTTTGGGAGTTTGTTGTAGCTGTAGGGTGCTGTGTGAATCCAGTCTTTTGTCAGAAGAACGTGTGAAAAAGCGCGTTTGAGTTGCAGTTTTCTGGCAGGGATTGAAATTTCCTCAAAGAGGAAATTCATGCGAGGGAAATCATAAGTACCCACCCTGCAGTGAGCAAGGGAGCCCACGTTGGCGGGCAGTGGTGCTATTAAGAATGGCTTTCTGATAGTCTTCTTCCTGGAAATGATTAATAAGCAACATACTGGTGTGCCCTTGCCATGGTGATGTAATTATAGACTTCTTGCAGTATCCAGGAAAAGTTTCCCTTGTGAGTTGACTGACAGATTGAGTAAAAGCTTTCATTTTCAGCGGTCTCCCTGGTGTTACTTTTAGTTTTCAGCATCCTCAGGTCAGCTTAGAAAAACAGGTATTTGATTTTGTTAAGTTTTAATTAGCCCTTTCTGATAACAGTTTTAGGTCCTCTGACATATGAGATACTCTGCAGATGTTCTGAAAAAAGAGCTTTCTCCTCTGAACGCTGATGGATATCGAATGCAAACTGTGCTCTGCATATGAACTTTCATAGCACAACACTGGGGTCTCCTGGCAATGTGCTTCAGCCGTCTGGTGTATAGCTCAGCCGCCGCAATAAAAACTCTTGACAAAGTTTTCCTTGGGGTAACGGGTTAATGTAGTTTCAGTTGTAGGAAATGGTGCAATTTCTCCTCCTTCCCTTCTTTTAGTTAGTACCGTGAATCAATTTGTCATCTGGTCGAGGATCTGGCAGAATAATTAGTTGTGTTTTACTGAATAGCCCAGATGGGATGAAGACTTGGCCAGGCTGACAGTGTGATGTCACTAGGTGCAGCGC